ATCTATCTTCTCAAAATGCTCATCTTCTATATAGTTTGCCATGAATACTGTTTGTTTTTTTACTTCCTAAAAATAAATCCAAATAATTGTAGCCCCCTAAAACCTAGATGTAGAAATATTTTCTACAAACATTTTGCCGCAGCGGCGGCCGCCTCTAACGAGGCTAAAACTAGCCACAACTAACATCAGCCCCCTAACATCTAGCATCTATCATCCAACATCTATCATCCAACATCTATTCTTTATAAATTTTTATTACTTTTTCGCCTTTGGCATTCATAAAACCACGATACATACCCTCAGAATTGAATGGCATGGCAACATTTCCGTTTTTATCTACGCCAATTGCACCGCCTTCGCCACCCATTTTTACCAATTTTTTCATCACCACTTCGTCGGCAGCTTCTTGCAAACTTATGCCTTTATAAGCCATCAACGACGAAATATCATGCCCAACTACCGCACGAATAAAATACTCGCCATGCCCTGTTGCCGATATTGCACATGTTTCGTTGTCGGCATACGTACCTGCTCCAATTATCGGAGCATCGCCCACTCTGTTCCAGCGTTTGTTGGTCATGCCGCCTGTCGATGTACCTGCTGCTAAATTGCCATATTGGTCGAGAGCCACACAGCCTACTGTGCCATATTTTTTGCCTTCGGTGAAAATGTTTTCAGACCGACCCCTAGCCGCATCGGCGGACCGCCCTAAAGGGGGATTTTTTTTGAGTTTTTTCGCCCCTTTAGGGGTTGGGGGTGCGGCTGGGGGCGTAGCATGGTCAAGTTCTACTTTTTCTTCTTTGATAGCTTTTTGTAAACCATCCCAACGAGTTTGAGTGAAAAAATAGCTGGATGGTACAATAGTTTCGCCTTGTAATTTGGCAAACTGTTCTGCTCCTTTGCCAATTAGCATAACGTGTTCTGATTTATCCATTACTTTTCGGGCTGTGCTAATTGGATTTTTGATGGTAGTTACACCTGCAATTGCCCCAGCTTTCAGGGTTTTGCCGTCCATAATAGCGGCATCCATTTCGTTTTTGCCATCGTGTGTAAAAACAGCCCCTTTTCCTGCATTAAATAGCGGAGAGTCTTCCATTACATGAATGCTTGCTTCTACGGCATCAAGGCTTGTGCCGCCTTTTGCCAAAACAGCATAGCCTGTTTCGAGTGCTTTGTCGAGGGTTTCTCTGTAAGCTTTTTCTTTTTCGGGGGTCATATTTTGGCGAGTAATTGTGCCTGCTCCGCCATGAATCACCAACGTTATTTTGTCTTTATAGTCTTGCGAAAAAGCTGATAATGAGAAAGTTAATGTTGCTAAAGTAATCAGTATTTTTTTCATGTTGTTGATAATGAGTTAAATTAGGGTTTATTAAAAAAAGGTTATTTTATTCTTTAATTGCTTCTTTTTTTGCGGCATTTACATACTCAATCAAATCGGCAACTAAGCCAGTCCAACCTGTTTGGTGAGCAGCCCCTAAGCCAAGTCCGTTATCTCCATGAAAATATTCATAGAATAAATAATAATCTTTGAAATGCTCATCGGTATTAAACTTGTTATGTCCTGCCATTGCCGCTCTATGCCCTGTGTCATCAGCTTTGAAAATATTAATCAAACGCTCGGCAATAGAAAGAGCGGCTTCTTTGATACTCACAATATTTCCCGAATTGGTTGGATATTCTACTTCATAATCTTCGCCATAATAGCTAAAGAATTTGAGTAGCGAATCAATAATTAAGAAATTGATTGGAAACCAAATTGGACCTCGCCAGTTAGAATTTCCACCCATAATACTCAAATCCGATTCAGCAGGCGTGTATTTTACGCTTAGTTCTTCGCCATGCAAATTAAATTTATACGGATGTTCTTCGTGGAATTTTGAAAGCGAACGAATGCCATACTCAGATAAAAATTCAGTTTCGTCAAATACTCGTTTCAACACCATTTTCATACGATGCCCACGCAAAAGTGCCAAAAGGTGAGATTCGCCTTCGCCAGCTTCGTTCCATCTCGAAATCAAAGAAGCAAGGTCGGGGCGATTATTCAAGACCCACTCCACTCTGCGACGGAAATCTGGCAATTTCTCAAGCATGGCTTCGTTGATAACTTCCACAGCAAAAAGCGGAATTAAACCCACAATTGAGCGAATTTTCATAAATATTGTATCGCCTTTGGGCGTATGAATTTTATCATAATAAAACTGGTCGGCTTCATCCCAAAGCCCTAGCGTGCCTTTTTTTCTTGGGCTGTTTACTGCCGCCGCAATATGCAAGAAATGCTCAAAAAACTTAGATGCCATATCTTGATAAACGGATTTTTCTAAAGAAATTTCACAAGCAATACGCAGCATGTTGAGCGTGTACATTGCCATCCAGCCTGTTGCATCGGCTTGTTGTAATCTTACACCTTGAATTTGGGCATTGCGGTCAAAAACCCCAATATTATCCAAACCCAAAAATCCTCCACCAAAGATATTGTTACCATCTTCATCTTTTTGGTTTACCCACCATGTAAAGTTGATGAGCATTTTATGAAAGATTCGCTCTAAAAAGTCAATATCACCTACCCCTCCATTATTTTCTTTATCAATTTCATATACTTTCCATGTTGCCCATGCGTGTACAGGTGGGTTTACGTCAGAAAAATTCCATTCATAAGCAGGAATTTGCCCGTTGGGGTGCATATAATATTCACGCAATACCACTGCCAATTGTCGTTTTGCAAAAGCAGCATCTACACGAGCAAGGGTGAGGGTATGAAATGCCAAATCCCAAGCTGCAAACCACGGATATTCCCATTTATCGGGCATTGATAAGATGTTTGCCATGTAGGCGTGTTTCCACGGCTGATTTCTGGCATTGGCACGTCCTTTAAAATCGAATGGCATTTCGGGGTCGCCATTTAGCCATTGATTGATGTTATAATAATAAAATTGCTTGTTCCAAAGCATTCCTGCAAATGCTTGGCGTTGAATTTCTTTTAGCTTTTGGTCTTCAATATTTTTCTGAATATCAGCATAAAATTCATCGGCCTCTGCCAAACGCTGATTGAAAACCTCATCATAATTGGCAAACGCATTTTGAAATTGCGTGTTATTGCTGAATCTTAATTTGATGGTTACACTTTCGCCTGCGGGAATATCTTTTTTGTAAAGCACAGAGACTTTTGTACCAATGTGATTTTGATTAATGGTTTTGCGATTGCCCGTAACAATAAAATCATTGATTCCATCTTTTACAAACAATGTTTGGTTGGCTGTACCAAAAATACGCTCACAATTTGTTTCGTTTTCGCAAAACAGAAGTTCGTCTGCACCTTCGCAGTAAAGTTTGTATTTACCCAAAATTTTGTGATAAACTTCTACTTGGCGATTGGCAATACCTGTCAGAATTGGTTTTTGGCTAAATTCGTCATAACCCCACGACCACGTATTTCTGAACCAAAGCGTTGGTAAAATAGTAAGTGGAGCTTTCTTTTTGCTACGATTATGAGCCGTAAGTTTTATTAAAATATCATTTTCGTCGCCTTTGGCATATTCAATAAAAATATCAA